AATATTATGAGTTAATTTCACAACACATTTTCAAACTATAATCTTTTTTTTTTCTAAATTGATCCTAAACTTTTAGACATTTTAATTTTATTCTCAAACTATGACTTTTATTCAAAACTAATCCTTAAACTTTTGGACAATTTAAATTCATCTTCGACCCGCATTCTAATTTGGTTCCTAATTAATTTATAGACGTTCTAATAATGTTCTCAAAACTATTCAAAAGTTTGAGGATGAAATTGAAATACTCAAAAGTTTGATGACCAATATAAAATGAGGGTCATAGTTCGAGCATGAATTTAAAACATTTAAAAGTTTGAAGATTAATATATAATTAAAAATATAATTTATAAATGAAATTAGAATATTAAAAAAATTTAAAAATTTAAAAACTAAATAAAAATTATAATCGGAGGATGTGTAATACAATTAACTCTAATATTATATATATTTACAATACACCAACTTGTTTCCAAATAGTGAAAACATAGACATCGTACATACTAATTTCAAATATGAATAAACCCGTACATGCTTACAGAATGAACTATTCAAACCCAAATCATTTAAGAAAAATATGTTACCCTTTATCACTTTGATCACTCCTTAGATTTAAAAGAACATTTTTAAATGTGTGAAAGTAAAAGTAGTTTACATAAAGAACATATTTTATACCTTAAAAGTTTACACAATCTTACCTATTTAAACTTCAAAATTTAAAATTATAATTTTTTATAAATTCTAAATCTAATCTTATTCTTACATGAAAATACGAAAAACAAAGATAAAAAAATTTGACAAACCTTCGAAATATGCTTACTTAAAAAATTCAAATCATAAATTCAAAATCTTGAATCCTAATATTTATATAAACTTCACTTGTATATTGGGTAATTTTTCTAAAATAAAACCTAAATGAAATTTTGTAAATTGAATAATGGACGTTTGGGGAAAAGGGCCGGACTTGAATTTAGCCCAAATTGTACCACCACTAAAACCCTAGAACCAGGAAATACAAACAAATTCATTTCCTTTGCTCCACTATGTTCAAATCAAAAACCCTGCCTTTTCCTTTTTCCAAATAGAAAAACCCTAAATTTCTGTTGTGTGATCTGTTTTCTTTCTCTTCGGCATTTGCTCAATGCTTCAATTATCAATGGTGGACTCCATCTCCCTCTGCTTCACTGAAACCCTAATCTATAACTAGTAATAAACTGGATCATTAGTTGGTATTATCTCAGTGTGTTGTTAACTCCCAAGCATGGCGGCCTTATCAACCAGAAGCCTCATTTCTCGTCTCCACCACCACTTCATCTCCCCTAATCCCATCCCTTTTAATGTTTTAACCGGAAGATTCTTCAGTTCCGATGCCTTAATGGATGCCTCCCAAATCGTCCATCAACAACCCACACGCATAATCACATCCACCCCATCTATCATGACCCCAAACTCCAAGCGAACTGGGATCATTGCCGTCAAGTGCGGCATGACTGCTCTTTGGGACAAATGGGGCGCTAGGTTACCCATTACCATTCTCTGGGCTGATGAAAATATCGTCACTCAGGTCAAGACTGTTGAGAAAGAAGGAATCTTTGCCCTTCAGGTAATTTCATTCCATATCTTTAGCTAGGGGTGAATGTTTGATCGAGCTAGTTAAAAAATTGAATTATTCTGGTTGACAATACCATTTTATAAATCAAATTTGATTTGAAATTTTTTTGAGTTGAGTTTATAAATTTCGAATCTAGTTGTTCGAAATTCTTAATAAAATATTTATAATATTAGTATACTATTTGATTTCAATTTGAACGTTTTCTATAACTATATTCAATATATATATATATCATATTGTGTAGATGGAATTGACTCAAATTTGAAAATCAATCAATTAATTACTTAACATTTTGAATTATTTGAATTTTATTTTATAATCAAATTTGACATTTTTTTAATCTAGTTTATGAAATTATAACTCGAACTCAATTCGAGTTGAGATTTTCCTATTCGAGTTGAAAAGATATTTTTCGAGTGAGTGGAGTTTTGCTCTCCCCTAACTTAGCTTTACTGGTCAGTCATGTTATGGAATCGTGGGTAAAGAATCACTTCAAGTGCTTTGATGTATGGTGTTGCTTTAGATTGGTTGCGGCCACAAAAAGCCTAAACATTTGACGAAGCCTGAAGTGGGTCATTTCAGAGCTCAAGGTGTTGATTTGAAGAGGAAATTGAAGGAGTTCCCCGTCACTGAAGATGCTCTTCTTCCTGTTGGTACTTCCCTTGGTGTTCGCCATTTTGTTGCAGGCCAATATGTAGATGTCGCTGGAACTTCTAGAGGGAAAGGTTTTCAGGTGATTTGATTAATTGTTTTGATCGATTTTCCTTTTATGCTTTCATTGATGAATTCATTTCATTTGTTGTTAGGACTTAAATGATGAATATATTCTATATTCCAGTTGTTTTTAACTCTAGCAGGTGTTTCATGCTTGGAACTATATGTGTAGGGAGAGATTAATACAGCTAGCAATGGCAGTTCAGATGCTTTGATAACTATTTATAGTATTGCAAATTTTCTTAGTGATACTTGATTGGGTTGTTGACAGTCACTTATCCAGTCATGTTAATGCATCGAGCATGTGTGTGCAAAATCTTTCTCATGTTCTTAACACAATCAAATGTCTTGTGTTTCTTTTACTTGCCTAGGGTGGAATGAAAAGGTGGGGATTTAAAGGAATGCCGGCATCTCATGGTGCATCATTATCACATCGGAGTATTGGTTCTACTGGCCAGAGGGATGCTCCTGGAAAGGTTTGTATTGCTAGTTTTTAATTTGCAATACCTTAAAATGTATTTTGAATACTGATTATTCTCGGGAATGTGTAACACTCGTATTTGAGCATTATTTTAGTGTAACCTCCCCCTCCCCCTCGCCCTCCCCCCCCCCCTTTGGGTACATATACCACTGTACCTTGGGCTACACAATAGGCAATAGCATTGTACTTGAGCCTCCTGGGCAAAAGGCTCAAAGACTAACTGTTAAGATGCCTTCTTGGAGAATCTGAACACTTTCTATTTTAGAGGTTCGTTGTTTTGCCTTGTCTATAATTTATTGCATTGATGTCGTTGGATGATGATGTTAACTTCTTAAGCATGATAAGAATACATGCAAAGATAATTGGATCAGTAATTACTTATTTCGTATGCATGTATGGATTCCTTCATATTGTTTAAGCTTTCGTATTTGTGAATGACAATAATATATACTTGTGGAAACTTCATTCAATCATGTTCATTTGATTGATTTGTATTTTTCCCACCCCTCGAATTCTACTGAGGATCACTTCACTGGCTCTTCATTGATACTGAAGCAGTTATGTTTATCTGAACTAATAACTTCATTGAAAAAACAATCGTTGGGCCTATTGCAACTTTCCTTGCAGGGTTCGTTCTACTTTTATCCATGTTGATACGACTGATTCAAACTTGTAAACCATAATGTGATTTTGTTCTACATACTTCTTCTCTCCATGGACCAACATTTTTATTCCAAGTATCACTTGATAATATGACCAGCTTAGGTTTTGGTTTGTCATGCGGAGTGCCCTCGAGCTATAATTGACAAGCAATTATCGTTATGTAGGTATTTAAGGGAAAAAAGATGCCTGGACGAATGGGTGGCAAGACGAGAACGGTTAAAAATGTGTGGGTATACAAGATAGATCCTGCGAGGAATTTGATGTGGGTGAGAGGTCAGGTATGGTTTTCTTATTTTAAAGTGCTTAAACGTTTATCATTGGTGTTTGCAAAACGGTTGCAAGCTTCCAACATTTAAGAATATGGGACTTGTGTATGCTTTGATGCTGTTTTCATGTTATTTGTTTATCTCGATGGATACAAACAAATTACATTGCATCAGTAATCTTGATATCCAGTTTGTTGCATTCCCTTTTATCGGCAGTATCATCTTGTGAGCTGGTTATCGTTTACAGGTCCCAGGTGCTGAAGGGAACTTTGTTTTCATAAAGGATTCTGTTTACAAGAAACCCGATGTTTCGATGCTTCCGTTCCCAACACACTTTGCCTCTGAAGATGAGGGCGAAACTAATATAGAACCTCTGGTTGCTGATCTTGGTGAGGTAGATCCATTTATGGTAGCAGATTGAGGAAGATACATTTTCCCGGAATTGTAGGAAGTTGTCGGTTTTTGTCTCCCGTTTATTTGGTACGAGGAAGGATTGTAATACAAGAATATGGTTATAAAGATGAGTATCGACGTCTGAATTTTTGAAGCAATTGACCATTGATTTTTCTGTAACAGGAAAGGAGTTGTTTTAAATAAATGGAAGGGACGATTACAAACTCAACAGCTCTTGATACCTTCTTTCTTTCTGCATACTAAATCTGCAAGAAAATCATTGGCTTGACTTGGTAGTAACACAGATGATTATGTAGAGAAAGAACAATTTGTCTGTGGTGAACTCATTAATGGGAAGAACTGATATTATGTGCATAGTTCGCTACAATTCTAAACCTACAAAATAATTGTTCCGCCTTGTTAAATTTGTCCTTTTTAAATTTTAAAATTATCTTAGTTAGTATGTTAATGTTTAACATAGATGATCGTCTAGTTCGAAACATAATAAATAGTTAAATGTTTATTTTGTAACTTTTAATGGTTGATGATTTAACAAAACAATTCTTTATAGTTTAGATTATTTTATAATTTTTAATAATCGAGAATTTAACAAAATAATATTCTATAATCAATGGATTATTTGTGTATTGTATCTAATTAATTTTTTATATAAATTTAAAATTATTAGATGAATAAAAATAAATAATTAAAATTAACTCGGTATTTTTAAAAAAATTTATAAAACAATTATTATAAAAATTAAAATATTTTTAAAAAATCAAAAAAAAAAATTCCTCAATTCAACCCAATAATTTTCGGTCTTCACCCTCTCCTTTGAATTATGTTCCATAATTGTTGTGTACGGTGACAACACAATTAAGTCGGGTCTTCTCCGACAAGAACACACCATAGCCTAGTCAAGGAGCCACCACCACACATACTCTTCCCTCTTCACTCAAATCTCCCTCCATAGCCGGCCATGAAGCGGGATCAGCTCTCCGAATGCGGCGGTTGCGGAACCCCGGAGCGGTTCTTCCTCCACAACCTCCGCCACAGGGCCAGCTACCGACGCCTCTGCACCAACTGCATCCTCAAGAACCACCAGGGCCTTTTCTGTCCCATTTGCCTCGAAGTCTTCAACGAGCCCCCTCCGCCTCACCAACGCCTCATCTGCGTCAAATGCCCTTCCGTTTCCCACTTCTCCTGCTCCTGCTCCTCCTCCTCTTCCCTCTCCCAATCCTTCACTTGTCCCCCTTGCTCCAACCCTAATTTCTCCTTCTTCAATCTCACCAACAAGAAACCCAAGTCAACGCCGGATCATCCCGGAGGATCCACCCCCGAAGACGACGATAACGACAACAACCCGTCGGCGAAAACGAGGGTTATGGACAAGGAAACTGCTAAAGCTCTTCTAGCTGCTGCTAAGATTGCTGCCGTCTCCATGACCAAAGCTGCCACCGTTGCTAAAACGGAGGCTGAACGGAGAGTCAAAGAGGCTACTTTGGCGAAGAAGAGAGCCAAAGAGGGTCTCGAGAGACTCGCCTTGTTGGCCCGTAAGGACATTGATAGACATAAATCGTCACTTTTAAGCACTCCCAAATCTAGAGTTGATGCTGCCGCTAAAACAAGCTCTTTATCTCTTCCTTCTCATATTCCTGAAAAGGGAAATAATGGTGGGTCGTATTCTGTTTCTGCTGCTAATGTACCCAAGTTGCAGCTTCAGCATAGCACTCATGGTATTCCTAATTAATCCATTGGTGAGATTCCAACAATCTTTGTAAAACTGTTTGTTTTTTGTTGGTATGTTTAGCCTGATGTTTATGGAACCATTATGTCGAATCTTTGTAGAGATGATTTAGGAAGCGAGTAACCTGTTTATTTGTACTCAGCATTTTGTTTGTACTCCATTGTAGCTTTCTCTACTTCCCTGTAAGTATTTTCATGAAGCTCGTTGTTTATGTTTATTTGCTTCCTTGTTTCCCTCCTTATTCCCCAAAACCAAACTTTCTGGATCCCTGCTCTAATTAAGCTTATATGCCCATTTAAGTTATTTGGCAAGAGGTTCAGCCTAGGAAACGCCTGCTTACAAGGGAAAAAAAGGTCAAAAATTGTCTTCGGATGCTTTGCATCCTCGGATATGTCCATTATTAATGCATGGCGATAGCAAATCTGGGTTTATATCACATTAGATGCTGCTATTGTTGTATTCTGTGAGTGCAGCAGGTTATTATTATATTGCTTCCTATCATCTAAGTGACGTCAGTCCTGGAATAAGTTGATCAGCATTTGAGACTCGATCGATAACTTATTCAATATCGTAAATACGTTGTTGTTTCAGAAGCATTGTTAGAAATCCATTTACTTCTAATCAAATTGTCTGGCATTATCCTTTTCCTAGTTTTGTTTATGTTGCTTGTTTCGTATATGATTGATTACCTTCGTTTACATTAGAGAATAGTGGTAGAGTGCTAAGAAGAATGAGATTAAAAAAATAGAGAATCAAATTTCTGGCCTTTGTTCAGATGTAGGTTGTGCAATGTTAAATTTTTGCGTAGTGATAATCATTTTTAGCAGTAATTGCTGATGAAGAATCAGTCTCTTTCTAAAGTGACTGCTGAATCCATAGGATTATATATTGTCTAATGGATTCAAGGGTCTTTGGGGATTTGGTTTTTTTGCTCTTGTAAAATATCTGATTACGGGCCATTCCCACGGTAGTAATACGGGACGTGGACGTGCTGAGTTTATTAATTGTTGAGGACTTATGGCATTAAGATGAGGATGAGGGTCACCATACCGGATGTTCACATACCGGGGCCTAGGTGGAGCTCTATTTGCTTTTCAAAGTTGATGAGGATGATGGTCACCATGCTGGATGTTCACGTACAAGGGCCTAGGTGGAGCTTTATTTGCTTTTCAAAGTTGCGTGCACAGATTGGTGCTTGGCAAAATTCAAGGCCAAAGATAGGCCTCAAGCTGATAAATGGTTTGGTTGTGCAATATGAGGGACTTCCTGGTTGTGTTCTGAAATGTTGCTGGAATTTGGATTTTGATAAGAATGCGTGCAATACGCATTTGACGACTAGTTTGTATCTCTTATTACGCTTCTTCGATGAATTTATGCCTTTGAAAGTGAAATTTGCTTCGTGATGCAATTGTAAAAATGTTCAGAAGGCTGACAGATGACAGATCAACGGCCTCCCACTTGTAGAGTCACCCCTATTTATTGATTTTATAATGTATGTTGTTGGATTGAGGTTAACATTCAATCATCAATATCATTGCACTGAGTCAAAAGAGCCTAGCTCTTTCAGTTTAATGCCAGAAGTCAAGGAGGAAAGGTGCAGCAGAGCCTGGAAGCCCTGTCTGTCATACAGCGAGCTAGAGTTGTGACTAAAAATTATTGAAGAAACGATTATGGTTATTTTGTACAACTAGTATGATTAATTTGTTTGTGAAATTCTTGAATGTAATTGATTATTCTTTTATTTATTCATTTTCTTACCAACTACTGTTGCCATGTTTTTATATGTATAACATCTGTCTACATTCTTCTCGAGATTCCTGAAGAGAAGAAAAGGAACCTGTTCTGGATTCCCCATGGTGCCACCAGTTGTGTGGATGTTGGCTGTTGAAGTTTGTGAATAAAGAGTTTATCCATTTGCATGATGGGAGATCCATGGTGGCCTTTTTATGCACTCATTTGATATATATCTCTTTTAAGATTTGGGTTTCCCTTATGTATGAGATCAAGTGAGTTGTGGAAAATGAAGGCAGTGGTCAACGAATTGAATTCTCTTTCGGATTCAAGTCAACCAGAGGTTGGATTCAGACTCAGTGAATCAGAACAGACGACTTAAAATTTTTGGGGTCTAACGACATCAGTGATGTCAGTTGACGTGGTGGTTTGTTACGGTGAATGGTGACTGAAATTTGTACTTGTGTTTATACATCTAAAAATTAATAAAAAAAATGTCTTATCAAATCAAAAAAGTAATAAAAATATCAAATCAGCATAAAATTAGAGAAATAACAATTGAGTGATTAAAACATTCAGTGTCAGAATTTAATGATTAAATTGAAAAATTTTAAACTTAAATGAACAAAATAGGAGTGAGAGTAAGGTTTAATGCAAAAATTTGTAATTTACCCGGAATTAAATAAGGTAAACCCTAAACTTATTTTGAAGATTGATTTATACATAAAGAGAGTGTCATGCGAGAGATTTTGAGGTATCTGCTTTCTGCATATGCTTCATTCTGTAATATTTGATTTCTCTACTGCCCGAGTTTTCGTTAAAAGCTATTGGTCTACCTGAAATAGGGGACCGTTATCGCCGCTATTTTTCTTTGCACTGTTATTTTACGGCCGGGATCCGCTGCTATTAGCGGTGGCGGACGGCGGTATTTGCAACCCTGCAAACATTGTTTCGTTTCGTCAATTCTAATTGCTTCGACTTTGAGCGAAAGAGATACATATGCCAGAAAGCAAGGCGGTGATTGGTCTGAAATGGGAACCAAAGCTTCCTGGTTTGCCTTTGCCATCTACAACCACCTCTGTTTCTGGTTCTGGATCCTTTTCTAAATCCCAGAATGAGCCCCAAAGCACTTCCCTTTGGAAACCCAACCAACAACTTGTCAACGGTCTCTTTGTACCACCTAATGATCCTTCAAAGGTTAATAAATTGCTTAGAAAGCAAGTCAAGGACACCGCCGGCTCTGCCTGGTATTCTTCATGTTTCTTTTTTTTTCGATCTCTTTTTCCTCGCCGCGTAAATTTCACAATTCGTTCTTCAACAGGTTTGATATGCCTGCCCCAACTCTCACCCCGGAGTTGAAGAAAGATCTTCAATTACTCAAGGTGCTCTGCCCTTTGCATTCCCTTTTGTGTAATGTATTTTTGTATATTGCTGTCTTCGTGACAACATGCCTTTTAGATGTATCATATCCGATTGTTGATCATCATATATTCAATTCATGTTTGAAACTAATGAAGATTAGGGTTTAAGGTTTAATAGAAAGATGATTGAGTTAATTTTTAGTTTGAACTGAGGGGTATATTGTTTTAGGCTTTTTAGATGCATCTATTCCAATTGTCGATTGTCGAATCTTCAATTCATGTTTGAAACTAATGAGGATTAGGGTTTATAGTTTAGGGTTTAAGGTTTAATATAAAGATGATTTTATTTTATTTTTAGTTTGAATTTGACTTCATTGGGACCGGGTGTATATTGTTTTAGGAATTTTGTCAACAATATCTTTCTAAGAACATGCTTTTTAGATGCATGTATTCCAATTGTGATTGTCGAATGTCGGATGTTGAATCTTCAATTCATGTTTGAAACTAATGAGCCTATCAGGATAACTAATATGATTTTTGTTTTAATTTAGCTTCACTATAATTTTTTTCTAGGGAATTATTGTTTTAGGAAATTTTCTGAATTATATCTTCTTGTCATAACTACAATTCATGTTGAAACCAACGAGCTTATCAAGATGATTGATTTAAATTTTTAGTTGGACTTTGACTTCACTATAATTATTTTCTAGGGCTTTATTGTTTTAGGATTTTAAATGTTCATGTCTTCGCATGAACCCAATTCTTGATATTGGCTGCTCGTGTTTGCTTGTGATACAGTTGAGGGGAGCCATTGATCCAAAAAGACACTATAAGAGGGATTCAAAATCCAAAGCACTGCCCAAGTACTTCCAGGCAAGTTCACTTGTAACACCCCAACCCGTACCCGACCCGAATACGAGTCTGAGGTGTCACGTTGACTTTTCAAACCTTGACACTTAAAGAAAAATCCCGGGAAATTTAAAACTTTGTTTAAAACAAAATACTTTAATTTACATAAAAGAGATCACAAAATACCAACTCGATCAGAGTGCTCATAATTAACAACTTATTACATGCCAACACTCTATACACGCCAAAATATATACTTTGTTGATTACTTCTGATCTGATCTTCAAGTAATAATACTGTCCTTGCTACTTCTATTCTTGCTCTTCACGTTTCTTGGTACCTACGTGTAAATCACTTACACGCTAAGTCATAGACTTAGTGAGGCAATAAATAAACATTTAACAACAAATTCATGAATGTGCATTCTTATCATTTGATCATGACATTTCAACATGCATGTATCTATCACATGATAACATATATAAGCATGTCAAGCACATGTAACACTTACCTTCTTGTGCCACTTTCACTTTAATTTATCTTTCAATTGTATTGCCCATGTATATTATTGAGAATAGAGGTAAGTGAGTACATTGAGGTTGTGCACTAATGCTGTCACCACAGCTCGTATAAATTCCCTCATGGGGCACCGAACATTTGTTCAGTATTCGTCCCGAATGACTGCTATATATGTCCCGTAGGACCATTACGTCCCGAAGGACTACGTCCCGAAGGACTACAGAACCCTCGACTCTTGGCATGCCAACTATACCTATAGCTCTCGTATCATATACTATGGGCATTTATGATGAATACATTTCTCATCACTTGTTCTTTCTCTTCTGTCACATACCACATGTATGTGTAACCACGTATTTCATATCATATCACATGTATCACATATTGCATATTCATATGTCATTTCATATATTCACATAGCTTTTCTCATTTCACATGATCATGTCTCATAGCATAATCATGTATGCATGTATATCATGTAACATTTATAATAATCTATACTCATTTCATGTATTCATGCACATATAAAAATCATGAAATCAAATAACAATTTAGGAGTTACTTCTTACCGTAGTAATTCCATCACTGGCTCATCGCAAGCCAATGTTCGTTCAATAATATAAGTACAATAAAAATTGCACTCACCTTAACCTTGTTTGATTTGAATCAATTCTAATCCTTTGATTATTCCAGAACTTGTTTAGGCTCAATATCTACATAAATATAACATTTCAAAACAACTATCAGAAGCCTAAACCTTAAACTTGATGTTAATAACTTAAGCCAGATTATTGAACCTAATTTCATTTTTCCTTTAAGGGGGAATCGATTCCCCCCCAGGGGAATCGATACCCCCTGGACATTCTGGAAAATTTCGTCCAAGAGGGGGAATCGATTCCCTTCATAGGGTATCGGTTCCCTCTAACCAAAATTTGTATTTTAACCCCGAAAATCATCAATTCTTCACTTAATTCTTCTATTTTAAACCCCTATCATGCCATTAAATTCAACTACCATTACTCAAACCAACTTATATCCATGAAAATCATCTATAACTTCAAAATCCTATCCTTCATATGAAATTCAAGAATCATACTCAAATTTCAATATGTTCTAAATACAATTCTAACACTTCATATTCTTTAATTAGGATGATGACAAGTCAAATTTAAATTTAAATTCAAATTATCAACTCTTTTCCATGATTTCATATAAAAACTCGTTTTCTTAAATCTCTTATAACTTCTTCATCTTTTGATTATAAGACAACTTAAGCTTTCCTTAAGCTTAGTTATCATCTAATGATCAAAACCCAACCTTAAAATCAATAAATAACCAACAAATATAAAACTCACCTTATGATGTGGTTTCTCTCGTATGAAGGAAGAAGAAGAAAAATTCTCTGGATAATCTTCTTTCTTCTTATCCTTTTCCCCCATGTATATCTCTAACATAACATAATTTAATCATTTAATGGTTAAATGATCATTTTGCCCTTTAATTCCTTTGATAATTACTAATAACTTTCAGGAAATATTTCTGAATAAATCATTAAACTATTTAAATATCCTACTTCAATCACCAAACTCTGAAGTATTATAATTTAGTCACTAACTCGTATTTTGGGATGTTACATCACTACTATGGCATAGTGCATATTTATTTTCATCCTAATTGGTTTATCTGAAATCTCTCTCTTTTGACATGCAAGCAGGTGGGAACCGTGGTAGAATCCGTGACAGACTACTACTCAGGTAGAATGACAAAGAATGAGAGGAAGGCAACCCTAGCAGATGAGCTGCTTTCTGATCCAGCTGTTAGGCAATACAGGTGAGATATCGTATCGATAAGTTCCTTCCGAAGTCTTTTATATGTATATCATTATATAATACCTAGTTCCATGATCGAGTTTGGCCCGGAAAATGCTATTTTATTCCCCTGTTGCAGAAAGAAGGAAGTTCTAAGAATATGTCAACTCATAATAGATGAATTGGTTGGTATGCGGGATGCCTTAAATAAGTGGCCTGGATAATCTGCAATCAGGAGGAGAATACCATTGACTTCATAACCAAACATTGTTGCTATCATTTTAGTATCATCATTTTTATTTAGACAAGAATGCTTTTGCACAATAGCGATGCACGCTTTTCATTGTCTGTCAACTTTTTACAGGAAGCGCAAGGTTCGGGAGATAGAAGAACGTAATCGACCAGCTGGAAATGACAAATGGAAGATAAAAGGTAGTCGAACATTCAAGCGTGCAAAGAAGAGAAGGCATTGATGGTTCCTTACTATATGTCGTCTTGAAAATTTTGACCCTTGTGGATTATACTAGTGCAAGTTTATGTGTCAAATCCCATGAAACAAGTGGAGTCTATCTGGTTGTTTTAAGTGTTGTAGGTGCGTATCTATGGCTTCTTTTTTTCAGATTGAAACTATGGGATATACCCTAATATTGATTCTCGATTCTACACATTTTAGCATTTTGATTGGTATTGGAGAGCTATTTAGATAAAAAAGCAAAGGGGTTTTGAGGAACTGCTCTAGTTTACTTGTTACCAACATAGTGTTTAGGGATTGGGTTTTTGGTTGATTCCAACTTGACTTGAGTGTTATATCTGTATTCGTCATCCAACTTGACCCGAGTTTAGAGAGGATCCACCCGATTCAAAATTTAGTCTGATTTTGAGATATAACACCACATTCGCATGACTTGGTCCAAAGGAATTACGAGGTTATTGATCTAGACCGACTCTGCTCAAGCGATCAAACTTATTAATGGGAAAGACGCAGCAAGCAGCGCCATTTCTCTCGTTCGTACAATTGTTTCTTGGCGTAGTCTTGCTTGGGAGACCCTCAGTTGGATTACACGCACAGAGAATGCGCTGCTTATGTTTTGGCAAAAATGAGTCCCCAAAACCTTGCAGAAGTTTGTTATTTTGACACCCCACCGTCTACTGTCTCACCTGGTGGAACATGAGGCTAATCAACAGCATACAAGTTAACCTCCTTGGTGTACTTTCAATTCAAAAAAAAATATTAATTGCTTTTCTTGTGTGTATATATATATTACAGGTGTATTTTACTTATAATATATGATTTTTCAATATTTATTTTTAATAATTAATAATTTATTATTTTATAATTTTTAATGTATACTTTTATTTTTAGTAGTTTTTTTAATAATTTAATTGTTATTTTTCAATTTATAATATTTTTTATTTTAAAAAATTAAATAAATCCTCAAACTTTCTAAAAATCAATTAGGCCTTTAAATTCGATCAAAACATCAGATTAGTCCCTCTATCACATCATCATCCATTGTAGATTACCACGTAGTATCGTAAATTTTTACATCAACGTCATGATAATCAATATTTGATTTCTCTAATTAAAAAATTAAATTACTTTTTTCATTTAGAAATTAAATTGAAGGAAAAAGAATTCAAGGGTTATATTTATTTTTTCACAAAAGTTTAAGGCTCTAACATACCAATAAAACTAATATATATAATAAATAATAGGATAATTCACATATTCAATATTTCAATTATCGCTTTAATTATCCAACTATTTTTTGTTTCAAAATTATATTTAACATTACGTTTTTATTTTGGTCACCTGTTATTAAAAAACTAACGATGATGTTGATATGTCACCACAAGGTAATATCATGTAATCGTTAACTTATTATTAAAAAATGTAAGGTCAGCAACTCTATGATTTTTTTAATGACGGATGATCAAAATTAAACAACAATGATAGTTAATATACTAAACTTGCATTTTTTGGTTCACGAAATGTAATATTACCAGGGAATAGGATTACTGGGAATGTTGTATTTTGTGTTTGGTTGGTTTAGTAAGAATGTAAGATTACAGTGTTTGGTTAAAGGAATAAAAGATTATTGAAATGTATATTTGACCAAACTGTCCTTATTATATATTTGTATAATATTACAAGTTGTAAAAAATTTATATATTTTCTTTAAAAAATTAAATTCGTAATATTTATATAATTTTTTACAAAATTAAAAATATAAAAAAGGTTTAATGAAATGATAAAATTTTATTCAACCCCTGAACTTCATATAAAATTTTAATTATAGATTTTTTTTTGTAAATCTAAAATAATTTAAGGATAAATTTGTAATTTAACCTTCGTAGAATCTTTATTATTAAATGACAGAAGAATGATATTTTTGAAAAAAAATAAAAATTTAAGAATATTTTAGTTCAAAACGCCGGTAATGTTACAATACTTGTTGAAACATTTTAATATTTCGATATAACAAATTAAGTTAAATGGATTTTAAGATTTTCCAAATGATTTTCTAAGTATATTCGATATAACTATTCGAATATCAAAACATTACTCCAAATATTTCAAAAATCATTTTTGATCCTTACTTAAGTGTAAAATTAAGTTTTAATCATAAAACAATTTCAAAATAATTTTACAAAGTATTTCGAACCAATTCAAAGCCAAAAATTCCAGATTACTCAGAGGGAATCGATTCCCCCCCCATAGGAGGAACCGATTCCCCCCCTGAATGGTTTGGCTCCGAGATTTCCAGAATGCTCGGAGGGAACCGATTCCCCCCAAGGGGGTACCGATTCCCCCCTGTTCAACGGTCGAAATATTTGAATTTTACACTTAGGGAACCGATTCCCTATGAGAGGGAACCGATTCCCCCCACTGTCCAAGCTGTTTTATTAAATGTTTTCACACTAAAACGGCTATAATATTTTCTCTAATTATCCCCAACGTTCAAAAGTGATCCAAGGTGTATTTAAGCAAGCTTAGAAGCCATTGATCAATAAGAAGAAATATCAAGCAACTAGAATCAAGAGAGAATCAAAGAGAAAGCATCAAACCTCAAGTTTGAGCATTTCAAGCCTATTTTCATTCAATATTCTTTTTGCTTTCAAGAACACTTTCTGTGCTCAATTGTATTCATCTTTGAGTGTTCTTTTCTTTGTTCTAGAATTGTGCAAACATCTTACCTTGTGAGGTTTTCTTATAAGTTTGCAAATTTGTAATCTTCTCTTTGAGAAAAGAGTGTTCTCAAGAGTTGGGGTATACTCTTGAGGGAATTGTAAGGTTATCTCTTTGGCCTCAAAAGAAAGAACAAATTAGTGAATTTGTTGGAAAATCCTTAGTGTGGATAGCTAAGGTAGTGGACGTAGACTTTGTTTGAGAAAGTCGAACCACTGTAAATCGCTGTGCAAATACTTTCAATTCTCTGCAAAAGCTTCCACAAAATTTTATTGCCAATTCACCCCCCTCTTGGCTAATTTCGTCATTCGATTAACTCAACAATTGGCATCAGAGCCTAACAAATTTGAAGGTTTTATCGCCTCTTGAGTCGATTCGGGAAGAGTTATATCGATTATTAAAGTCATCAATGGCCTCTGCTTCAAACTTCGACTCCGGTCTCGATTCGATGCCCGTCAACAAGCCTCCTTTCTTCAATGGAGCTAACTACGCCTATTGGAAGAATAGAATGATGTACTTCATTCAAGCAAGTGACATGGGAACATGGAATGCCGTAGAAGAAGGATACATTAAGCCTATCACTCATCCAAGGTTGTGGAGTGAAGGAGATACAAAAATGTTCCAGCTCAACTCCAAAGCCATCCATATTATCTTTTGTGCTCTTGGACCAGGTGAATACGGAAGAGTTTCATCGTGTACAACCGCCAAAGAAATATGGGACAAGCTTCAAGTCACACATGAAGGTACCGATGAGGTAAAGAAATCAAAAATTAGTATTCTAACGCATAGCTATGAAAATTTCAGGATGAAACCAAATGAAGACATCAAAGCTATGACGGATAGATTTTCAACGATTGTCAATGGTCTCAAATCATATGGAGAGATCATCTCAAATGAAAAGCTTGTGAGGAAGTTAGTCTACTCCCTCCCAAAATCATGGCAATCAAAGAAGACGGCAATCATCGAGTCTAAGGACCTATCGTCCTTAACTCTTGAAGAACTTATCGGTTCACTCCTCACTCATGAGATGATGCTTGAAGATGAGGTGGACCTTGATAAAGTTGAAGAGACACCAAAGGAGAATGAGAAGAAGAAAAACATTGGAGTTGCTCTCAAATCCACAAAAGATGAGAGTGATTCTAATGATGATGATGATGACGAGGAAATGGCATTGTTTGCCAAACGGTTCAGAAAAATGATGAGACCTTACCAAGGAAGAAAATTCAAACGAAACGAAGGCCTCAAAAATGAACCAAAAGAGAATGACCCAATCATTTGCTATGAATGCAAAAAGCCGGGGCATGTCAAATATGATTGCCCACAATTGAAGAAAAATGGTCAATCAAAGAATAAGCACAATGCTCATGTGGCTACATGGAGCGATGAAGAAGGTTCCGATGAAGAGGAACAAGAAGTAGTAAACTTGTGCTTAATGGCATTCGGGGAAGATTCTAAGGTAACCTCTAACTCATCCGATTTTGATGATTTATCTTATGATGAGTTATTTGAGGAGTACAATGGGTTGGCTTCGGATTATGAGAAATTGTTTTTAAAATATAAAAATGATGTTTCAAAATTGAAAAATGAAAACAAACTCATATCCAAAACCAACAACGATCTTGAAAGTAAAATCAAAAATTTGCAAATCAAACTAGAAGAGTTTGAAAAGAAAAATTTAGATTTGCAAAATTTACTTTCAAAGATCAATGATGATCATCAAAAGAAAATTGATGATCTTAAAACTTCTTTTGATAAAGTTGGAACAAAACATTTTGAAAAAGGTGAAAATTCAAAATCCAACTTTGTTAGAAAAAGTTTTAGAAACTACAATCATAGAGGTCCCCAAAGAACCTCTAATGGAAAAATCATTAGAAGTGTGTGGGTTCCTAAAGAACTCATTACTACCAAAGATAAAAATATCCTACACAAATGGATACCTAAAGGGACTAGAATTTTGGAAACTAATGAATATGGACCCAAAAGAATTTGGGTACCAAAAATCAAAAATTAATATATGTTTGTAGGGAAAGGAGCATTGCTACAAGGCACGGGAAACAAATTCAAACTCATGGTACCTTGATAGTGGATGCTCAAGACATATGACCGGAGACAAAAGCCGGTTCATTGAGCTTAACGCCAAAAATGGAGGAGAAGTGACTTTTGGAGACAATTCAAAAGGTCACATTGAAGGTATTGGTACAATAGGTAATAACTCTTCCATACAAATTAAGAATGTTTTATATGTGAATGGATTAAAGCATAATCTATTGAGTATTAGTCAATTATGCGATAAAGGATTCAATGTCTTATTTGAAATTAATGGTTGTAAAGTCATTGACATTGCATCTAATCGGATTATGCTTGTTGGTCATAGAATAGGAAACATTTACATGGTGCATTTAGA